CCAGTCCATCCCACTCCCCTCCCAGTCCCCCCAGACACACTCCCACTCCCTCCCACTCCCTCCCAGTGCCTCCCACTCCCTCCCACTCCCCTCCCAGTGCCTCCCATTCCCTCCCAGTGCCTCCTACTCCCCTCCCACTCCCTCCCAGTTCCTCCCAGTGTCTCCCAGTGCCCCGCACACCTGTACAGGTAGTAGAAGAAGGAGAGGAGGTAGAAGGCCAGTTTGCACCAAGCCTCCTTCTGGCAGTAGCCCAGGATATCAGCGTCCATGATGGACACGGCGTCAAACAGACCCTCGGAGCCGTCGGCAGGGCGGTGGAAGTACCTGGGCACAGGGCACACCTGGCACACCTGGCACACCTGGGCACATCTTGGGGAGACCCTGACACACCTTGGGGATACCTTGGCACAGCTTAGGGATACCTTGGGGATAACTTGAGGACACCTTGGCACACCCTGGCACACCCTGGCACACCTTGGCACAGCTTGGGGATACTTGAGGACACCTTGGGGATATCTTGGGGACACCTTGGCACACCTTGGGGACACCTTGGGGATATCTTGGGGATACCTTGGCACACCTTGGAGATACCTTGTCACACCTTGGCACACCTGGGGACACCTGGGAACACCTTGGGGATACCCTGGCACACCTTGGCACACATTGGGGACATATGGAAACACCTTGGGGATACCTTGGCACACCTGGGCACACCTTGAGAACACCTTTGCACACCTTGGGGACATCCCAGTGGCTCCCAGTCCCTCCCAGTGCCTCCCACTCCATCTCAGTACCTCCTACTTTCTGCCAGTCCCTCCCACTCCCCACCCAATCCTTCCCAGTGCCTCCCACTCCTCTCCCAGTCCCTCCCACTTTCTCCCAGTCCACTGCACTCCCCTCCCAGCGGCTCCCAGTACCTCCCAGTGCCTCCCAGTACCTCCAGAGGTGGTAGAGCAAGAGGGGCAGGTTCAGCCCCAGTGTGACCCACTCCCTCCCAGTGCCTCCCACTCCCCTCCCAGTGTCACCCCCACTCCCCTCCCAGTGCCACCCAGTCCCTCCCAGTGCCTCCCAGTACCTCCAGAGGTGGTAGAGCAGGAGGGGCAAGTTCAGCCCCAGTGTGACCCACTCGGCCGCGCAGAGGAACATCAGGCAGAAGAGTCCATGGATACAATACTCGGGGACCACCAGCTGGGGGTGACAGGGGTTAGGGGCACGCCAAAAACCCCAAACTCCTTCAAACCCCCCCAAAAAATCCCCCAAGAGCTGCCAAAATCTTCCCAATCCCCCCAAAATTCCAAGACCCCCAGAAAAAATCACTCAAGACACCCAATCTCACTCAAGACTCCCCCAAAAAACCTCATCAGATCTACCGAAACCCCCTCAAAAATCTCCCAAGAGCTGCCAAGAGCTTCCCAACCCCCCCAAAATTCCCAAG